AGTGGTCGGTACCGACTCTGCCTCGCGACGATCTGGGCCCGCGGGGCGGAGTGGCGATGGTGCCCAAGAGGCGCATTCCGGCCACTCTTGCTCGTGTAGGCCAGGCGTCGCGGCCGACAGCCATGCTATGCACGCAGTCCCTTGGAGAACTCGGTATCGAAGGTCTGCCGGCTTCGCGGGTATGACATTCTCTCGTGGTGCAGTCCGAGACCGCCCCGTCCACGATCTGGGTCCAGCGTTACCTCATCCAGCTGGGGCGCGACGCGGCCAACGTCGTGAGCGTGGCCACGGAAGGCCTGCTAACCATCCAAGAGACAGTGGCCATGATCAAGGCTGGTCTCAAGTTCGACTCCGAAACGGGCTGGAACAGCGAGCTCATCACCGCACTCGTGGTGTCCGATTTCTTGAAGAAGCTCGCAGGGGAGTGCGCCTTCTCCGACATTGCTGTTCGGCAGGATGGCTCCTCCACCGCCTTGGTCGCGTCCAGCAAAGTCGAGGGCCTCTTGAAGTCCAGCGGCCAGGCTGGAGTGTACTCGAAGACGCATCCTTCCGTTGCGAGCCCAGATTTTTCTCTCGAGGTAGCGTGGCTGCCTGCCGGCACCGCCGTCCACGAGGTCTTGCAGTTCGCCGCTGCGGAGGCCGACAGCTGGGGCGTCGCCAAGAAGGCCAGTGCCAAGTCTCCTCTCTTTGGAGCGCGTTTCCGGAACGCCGCCAAGGTCGCAGCTTTCCTGGCGAAGCACGACTTCGAGGACACCGCTGTCTTGGGGCGCCTCCGGGTGGGCGGGCTCTCCTGCGAGTCCAGCGCCGCGGGGGTCACGGCGATGCTTCGCCAGGTCCAGTGGGAGATCGCCGACGTTCCCTATCTGGGGACAGGGCGCGCCATCGTCTTGTCCAAGGCCGTCCCGCCTGGCCCTCGCATGAAGCTCGTCAGGGCGGATGGGGCTGACGTCCTGCCCCAGACCCGCGCGGCCGCGTCCAAGGCCGAGGAGCTCTGCAAGGCCACGGGCGTCGCCCGCCAGTCCACCGACGCAGACGGCGAAGGTTTGCAGGCAGTCTCAGTGTCCAAGCCCGCGTCGTCCTTCGAGGTGCGGGCTCAGGCCGCAAAGCAGAGCGCCAGGGCGAGCGCCAGGGCGAAGGCCGTGGTTGCGCTCGCCCAGCCCTTGGTGGCGGCTTCGCCGCCGCCGCCCCGCCAGCGGGGGCCCGGCGGCGCGCCGGAGAGATCGGCGGCCCTGCGCCTGCGCGCCGGCGATGGCCCCCATCAGGCCTTGCCGCCAGTGGCGGCGATGCCGAAACAGGAATCAGGACTTACTTCTCTATGTTTCACATGTCTCACGACATGCTCGTGTTTGGATGTTTATGCGTGAGTTCATCGAGAGCTTTGAATTCGTATTTGTATCTCCTGTATTTGAATATACGCCTCTCTTTTTCAAACGTGACTTCTGCCGGAAGTGAGGTCCCGCCACTGTGCCGACGCGCCCGTGCTGGCGCGCACTTTTTGGCTGAGACGTGGCACTGCGACGGCGTGGGGCGCATGGTCCAGGCCGAGGCAGACGGCTGCGCAGGTGGCCGGGGGAGGTTCCAGTTCATCTTCGGCGACGCCGTGGCTCCTGGGGCGCACTCTGGCGCTGGCATGGTCGCGGGGCCCGACTTGGTCCACAGGGTCCGCTTGGTGCAGCCCCCTGCGGCAGCAGCGCCATTTGTCAGAGCCGGCCGATTGGCGCTCTACCATCTTGTTCTTCAGGGGGGCCCTCGGCGCAAATCCGACACCGGAGAGGGGCCAGTCTTTGTTTTCGTTCTTTACGGTGACCAGCATGATCCACGTGCTTGCGACGAGCTGCTATTAGCCATCGAGGACTGGTCTTCTGCGCTGATGCACGCGCCCGTGCTGATCTTTGGCGATTTCAGCGCCATCGTGGAGGAGTCGCGCGCCCTGCGGCGCTGGCAGCCCACTGGCAGCTTCCACGACCTGTTCCTCGAGTGCGCCCTCGCGCAGGGGGCGCGGCCGCAGCCCGCTGCTCGAGGGCGCCAGGGGCAGAGGCGCATCTATATGTGTTGGATCAATCCTTGCGCTCGCTATATCGTGTCGCCCTCTTGTCGGCAGGAGCAGGTATTTGCCGCTCGTGACGCGCCAGTGATCGATCTGTGCGTGCAATCATTCTTGCAGCAGGTGGGCAAGCGGAGCGTGCCTCAGCCGCTGCCCGTCGGCAAGTGCCTGGTGCCCCACAGGGGCTTGGAGCAGATCCGTTCGTTGAAACAGCAGGAGTGGGACGCCCTTGTCGCGATCGTGGAACCTGGGCGGCCGGCCGAGGCGGGTGACAGTAAGGGGCGTGGGAAGGCTCTTTCAAAGCTGTTTGAGCTGTGGGCGCTACGCGCAGAACACCTCCTAGTGCGATAGGCGGGGCTCCGGCGGCGTCCGCGCCGCCATGCGCGGGGTATGTTGCAGCCAGTTCGTAAGGCATTTGTTGTTCCACCTGTGTCCCGCGCCAACTGGGAGGCGACGACTTCAGCTGGCCGTCGCGCCCAAGTCGCGAGATGTATGCACCAGCAGCGGCGCCTGGAGGCGCCTCGAAAGATGCAGGCGCATGGGCCTCAGAAGGTCGGGGCGTGGGACAACCTGCGCGACTCGCTCTGCCGCTTCTTCATCAGTGAACGGCGTTTCCCTCATGCTCTCCTCCCGCGAGGCATGCCGAGTGACGCAGAGTATGCTGCGGTCGCCGACCAGCAGACCGGCAAATTGCATCGCTTCACGGTCCGAGCGGAACGAAGGCAGATGGCCCGGCGCACTCGCCGGTTCGCCTACGTGGCTGGCCAGGATTTGGCGCCGCCTCATTTTGTGAATGTTGCCCCAGGGGGAGCTCCGCCGGAGTGCACTACGTCCATTCCGGTCATCGACGAGAAGGTGCGCGCTTTCTGGGCGAACGCGTGTCGGCGGCCGGATGCGTCCTTCCCCCATCTGTTGGAGAAGCGCTGTTGGACACGGCTCCGGCGCATCAGCCTTTCCCGTTGCGCCCCATTGCGGCTTCTGACATACGGTCGGCCTTGGCGAAGAGCAGGGGCGGCCCAGGAGGAGATGCCTGGACGTCCGCTCAATTGCGGGCGGTCCCGGAGCTCTTCGACCAGCTGGCGGCGCTGTTCATGATGACCGAGAGGGCCTGCGTGAACCCCTCGGAGCACTTGTCTGGCGGCGTCACTTGTATCCCTAAGTCTGGCTCCTCGGGGCATTTCGCGGAGCTGCGACCCATCGCTGTGCTGGCTACGCTCTGTCGCCTCCACGGCGCGCTGCGGCTCCAGACGACATAATTTGATTGGCAGGAGCACGTTATGGGGGCTTATCCCTTCGCCGGCTGTCGGCGGCGCACGTCTGCTCGCCATCTGTCCTACCCTTGCTGATGATAATGCTGCTGATGATGATGATGCTGGTGATGCTGATGATGCTGATTATGACGGTGATGACGATGATGATGAGGGGGCGGAGGGGATGGAGGAGAAACAGGAGGAGGAGGAAGAGGAGCAAGAGGAATAATAATAATCAAAGAGAAGCAGGAGGAAAAGGAGGCGGCGGATTAGGAAGACGAGGGATGCGGCGCGAGGGAGATGAGGATGAGGAGGAGGAAGAGGAGGAGGAGGAAGAGGAGGAGGAGGAAGAGGAACAGGCAGGAGAGGAATAGGGAACTAACAGCCGATGGCAACGAGGATGATCACTCGGGCTATCGAAATGCGCTCATGTGGGAGATGTGTGTGTGTTGTGAACTTCTGCCGATGTGTTGGATGTATGTAGTTGTTTTGAGATGATATGTGTTGCTGTGGGCTGTTGTTGCAAACGAACACAATCCCCAAATCACAAACAGTAAATTGGTACCAGTTCCAACTAGGGCACTCAGGTTGACTCCCGTAATGTACTCTTAAGACGCTCATTTGATGGTTAGATCGTCTTACAATCGAATTCTAGTGTACGCCCGAAGTGGCTGTGTGTAATTGGTGCCAATTGGTTTTTGTCCGGTTAAGAAATGTTCCAGTCGGCTATAATTCGTCCCGGTCGGTTGGGATTGGTCCCACATGCTGCGGGCCGTCCCCCTTCCAAATCAACTCGACCGGGCTCCCGGGGGAAGGGTTAGCGGTTTTGGGAGGGGGAACTATCTCACGCGCCAATGATTGCCAAGGGGTCGGCGGATTGGGGCCAAATTTTGGGAAGTGATTTCAGATGAACACGGTATTGATCCTACAGGCACTTATCATGGAGATTCCGACCTCCAGCTCGAGCGCATCAATGTCTACTACAATGAGGCCACAGGGGGCCGTTATGTTCCGCGCGCCGTACTGATGGACTTGGAGCCAGGCACCATGGACAGCGTCCGTGCTGGACCGTTTGGCCAGCTTTTCCGTCCAGACAACTTCGTATCCAATTGCGCTGCTGCGCATATCCGTCACCGCGTTTGGGGGAGCCATGCAGCAAGGCTGCAGCGCAGCAAGGCAAGCAAGACATGGCACGACACACGTATTGCACCACACATATCGGATCACGCATATTGCGCCAAACATATTGCACAATACCGAAATGTGTGTGAGACACGTTGTGACATCCGGTTGCCGAAGACGACAAATTGATTGTCAAAGGGGGAATGGGCGAGGAGGAGGTCGACCAGGCGGGGAGGGGAAGGAGGATGCGGAGGAAAAGGATGCGGAGGAAGTGGACGAAGTGCATGTGGAAAGATGGATTATTGAATGGCTTTGGGCCCATCCCGACACCGTGCCTGGGTTGTGGGTATACAGCCTGCTGGATGTTCGTTGGGATTTTGTTGGGAGCCTCCTGGTGTACGGACATTACCACAAGTATGACACATGATACTACGACGACGACGGTGACGACTACTACTACTACTACTACTATGGGTAAAACTACTACTACTACTACTACTACTACTACTACTACTACTACTACTACTACTAGTACTACTACTAGTACTACTACTACTACTACTACTACTACTAGTACTACTACT